CTTATAAAAACATTTTCCATAAAACATTTATTTTCTTTTCGGAAAATATTCTTCACCGGAAAATATATACAATTCTCCTTCCGGAAACATTTATTTTTTCCGGAAAATGTTTAGTTTTAACCGGAAAATATTTAATTTCTTTCCTGAAGAAATTTATTTCATTCCGGAAAATAATAATTTCTTTCGGAATATATTTATTCTATTCCGGAAAATATATTCTTTTCAGGAAAATATTTATGTTATTCCGGAAAATATTTATTCTATTCCGGAAATTATTTTCTTTCCGGAAAATATTTATTTTCTCTTTCCGGAAAATATTAAAAAGCTAATGAGTTCAAAATGGTTTAATGGATATTCTGAATATATTTTTTTAATTCTGAAATAATAAGAATCCATTAAAATTTTTCAGCAGAAAGGAATTAGTAATACACTTAAAATAATATTTAATTTAAAGAATTATATAATACAAAAATATTTAAATAAATAAAATTACAAGAAGCACTTTAATTTTTAATTTAAACGTTTTTTAATCTCTTCCTATATTTATTTAATAATTAAATTTAAATTAAAAATTTCCTTTTAAATTTTAATCAAATTTTTTAATTTGTTGCTATATTTAAATGATAAATTAAATAAATATTTTTAAAATAAAAAAATATTTAAATTGAAAAAGTAAAAAAAATATTGAAATTTAGGGTAAGATTAATTTAAAATTTTTAATCAAAAAATAATTATAAAATGACCTCATAAATAGCCTAACAGTCTAATCATTAATCATTTTTTGTAAAAACCACAAAAATATTCTATTATCAAATTAATAAAATAAAAAATAATTTTTTATAGCGGAAATTAAGTAACGGACAGCAGAAAAATTATATCATAGCCTAGACAAAAAATTCTAATTAGTGTGCTAATTTGCAGAAAATAAATAATTAAAATTAAAAATTGAAGTATAAAATTTTATTTTTAAAAAATTTTAAAAATAAATTTATTAATTTAATATTTTTCAAAAACAATTTACTTCCGTAAATAAACATATACCTAATTTGTAACAACCATTTTTATTTTATAATTTCCGTGTTTTTCTCACTTCCAATTTTGGAAATAAAAAATATTTTTTAAAATAAATTTTTGCAAATTTGAAGCTATTAAAAAGTTATTTTTAATACATATATCTATTCATTAAAATTATTTTTTGTAATTAAAAAAATAATTTTTTGTAGCTATTTTTAAAATAAAAATTTTGGAAATTTTAAAGAAAAATTTAAACAACAAAAAAATGAAATTTTGCAAAGAATATTTAAAATTATTACATACAAAAATTGACAAAAATAAACATTTTTTAGTAAAAAATTTTGTAGTAAAAAATTTTGTTTTAGCATAATAATCTTAAAACTTAGGAATGCCTAATAATTTTTAGTTTTAATTTAAAAAATTTTTTTAATTTTTTATTAAAATTTTAAAAAATTCTCTATAAAAATTTTTTAAAGATTTTCTATTAAAATTCCAAAGAATATGCAAAAAGAATTTATTAAAAATTTTTTTAATAAAATTAAATTAAATTTAAAAAATAATTGAAGATTATAGAATTAATGAAAAAAATATTTTAAGTAAATTAGAGGGCGCGAACGGCTTTACATACTTTTCCTTTGACTAATAAATTTATTAAAAAAATTTTTTAAAGAAGGGATTTGTAGTATTAATGTAGTTTGTCTCGATAAAATATTTTTTTTTAAAAAATAAGAAAAATAAAATAATAATAATTCCGGTCAGGATTAGTATTAAAAAATTTTTTAGAAGAAAAAAATGTTGACGGAAGGCGTTCCTCCCACAAACTTTTTTTGAAAGGTTGAGGAGGATTTTAAAAGTTTATCTATTTTTTAGAAGAAAAAATAAGAAAAATATTTAGTATATAATGTTTTTATTAATCACCCCCGAAAGATGAACAGAAAAACCTAATTTTTATAATTAAAAAACTTTTGTAAGTATAGTAGTTATAATATTTCCGGAAAGTTTATTATACCATTAGAGTTATACTTTATAAACCTTGCAAAGTATTAAAACTTTCCGGAAAGTTTATTTCTTATTAAAAACTAAAATACAATTTAATTTAAAAACTTTCCGGAAATATTATAAAAGTATAACTCTAACGATATTAGTATAATAAACTTTCCGGAAAAGTTTAGAATACTAACAACTTTAAAGTTATACTTTATAAACTTTCCGGAAAATTTTTAAACTTTCTCCTAAATAAAATTAATACAACTTTGCAATTAAGTGTTTTCAAAATTAAATATACGTATTTTATTCTATTTAGTCTTCTAACTTAATCTAAAAAGATTATCAAAGTCTGGGATAGCTCTAAAGAATAATTTTAAATGATTATAAATCAAAAAACAATTTAAAGCTTTTGGTCTTGAATATTAAATTAATCGTACTTTTGTGTATACAAAAAGATTAATTTTAATATATAAAATTATTTTATTTAATATATAGCAAGTTGAAACTTTATTTAAGGATTAATTTAAAAAATGAAGAAAATCTTATGTAATACATATATCGAGGTATAATAAAAAAAATATTAAATATTTACAAAGAACTAGAGTAGGGTTTCCGGAAAGGGTGTTTCCGGAAAAAGTTTATTTTTTATTTATTAAAATAACACTCATTCCCTATGTTTTAATTTCCGGAAAGTTTATTTATTATTGTCACTTTAATCATTGCTTAAAGGTATATGTATAAATAAACTTTAAGGGAATCAAACACAATTTTAAATAAAAATCGTAAAAAAGTACACAATTGAAAAAAAAAACATAAAAAGATAAAAATGAATGAAAGGTAGAACAAAAAAAAGCAAAAAACGTAAAAATGCCCAAAATGTACGGACGACGATGGACACACATACAAACACCCCCATCCCCTCCCTCTACTTTTTTTAAATCAGACACGTTTGTAATGGTCGGTAGGTAACAGCAGTTTTATAAACGAGAAAAAATGGGTTTTTATTTCTCTCATTCATTCCCGCTTATGGCCGATCGCATGGGGCAGAGGTGGGGGAGAATGAATGAAGGAATGGACATTTGCGTTATTTGCTTCAAAAAATAAAAGCAAAATATTTGAAGAAAAAAATAAAGACGATGAACTAAAAATAAAAACAAAATATAATATACTTAAAGAAAAAAGAGAGTAACTAAATAACTATAAAAAATAAATAAAATATTTGATAAAAAATATTATAAGAAAATTAGCAAAAATAATAAGCAATAAAAGAATGCTTCATGTTTTATTTTAAGATGCTTCAGGTTTAAAAATGAAACTTGAATCATTTTAAATCATTAATTTAAAACTTGAACGATTTGAATAAACTTGAAACAAGTTTAATTTTTCAACCTGAAGCATTTTTAAAATAAAACTTGAAGTAAACTTAATAAACCTGAAAATAAACTTTGATTAATTTAAAACTAGAAAATAAACTTGAACCTATTTATTTAAATAAAAAATTAAACTTTGTTGCAACTTTAATTTCAAGTTTTAATTACTACTTAACTTTAAAACTTGCTTCAAGTTTTAATATAGAAAATCATAAAAAATAAACTTGAAACCAAAACATTTATAAGGATTACTGTATTTTGAGGGTTAAAAAAGAGTATAGCATTAAACTGCCTATTTATACCCAAGAGAATAAAGAAAAGCATTCTAATAAATTTGTTGACAAATTGGCAAAATAAAAGACACAAAAAAATAAATAAATGACATATATTTCAATCATTTCTATAAAGAAAATTTTTATTTTTTTTCTTGGCATTTTTCCGAAATTTCCCTTAAGAGACAAGTCAAAGTAAAGGGTAAAAGGATTTGAATAAAAAAATAACAGGGAGACAATTAATAAATGTGTCTATGTTTATTTTACAAAAAAAAATAAAAAATATAGTATTTATAAGAAGGAATGTGTGGAATTTATGCCATTGGTTGAAGGGGTAACCTAACAGAAAAAAATTTATTTATTAAAAATGTTGGGGAAGATTCGCCTAAAATAATAAAAAAATAATAATTCTTAAATTATGGTAGTTATAACCCTTATTTATTAAAAATAATGTTGTCCAAAGTTGTCCGCAACTTTAATCCGCAAATTTTTCGAGTGAGCATGTTTAAATATTAATTTAAACATAAACAACTTAAATAAACTTGAAACAGGAAACAAACTTAAAATAAACTTGAAAATAAGTTTACAACTTGAAAATAAGTTTGAAACTTGAAAACAAGTTCGAAACTTTAAATAAACTTGAAAATAAACTTGAAATACTTAAACTTGAAACTATTTAAATAAAAAAGAAAATAAACTTTGTTTCAAGTTTTAATTAATAATTATGCTGCAACAAAAAAAGTTTGAACATTTTTAATAAAAAAAATAAACTTGGAAAAGAAAAGAAATTCAAGTTTATTTATATATGTATTTAATTTTTATATTTAATCTAAAAGCTTTTTCTCTTATTATGCAATTTTTATTTTCTTTTAAAATTCGCTTGAACAGATAGAAAAGGATTAAAAAAACAAGAAAAAAATTAGTAGACCTGTTATGAGCACTTTTCGTCTCTTCTCGATTATAATAAGAAAAAAAGGATATATTTTTGCTTTTAAGGGGTTATAGAAGATTGCGCGATGTTTGCCATTCAAGTTGGGCGCGGGGTTGTTTTTGGCGCTAAGTGAATTTTAAAGGTAAATATTATTCAATTTTTAAAAGGTTGTTTAATTTCCTTTTAATTTGAAATCTTTTAAAAGCTTTTTTAGACGTAAAAGACATTTAAAGACACCATGTGTTAAGTTTGAAGGCATGACTAGGTAAGGTATTCACTTTACGGGAGGGCAGAAGAAGCCGAAAAAGTAGGGAGAATCACTGTAGAACAAGAAGGAGGGAATCGAAGACAGAAAGTAATGGTAGTAGTTTCAGTCTTGTCTGCAAAAATTTAATGTCCGCAAAATTTGTCCGCAAAATTAATATTTGTCCGCAAATGTCTACAATTCCTGTCAGCCATCTAAAAATAAATATATAAATACTTTTGTGTGGATATTTGAAGAAAAAATGAAAATTGCGAAAGTGGAGGTGAGAGTGGACATTGCGCGAATTGAAGAAGAGGAAGAGAAGAGTATAAATTGGACACAACAACATATTTTTGTGCGTGTAACAAACAAAAAAAATAAATAAAAGAACAAAGCCGCAAAATAGAAAATAACAAACAAAAAAAAATAAACAAAACAGGAACTGCTAAAAATATAAATATATATATTCATTTTATTCCCTTCCATCTCTTGTTGTTACTTCAATCATCCTTTCCCCCAAAAACTCTTCTCTTATCCTTTAAAAAGAAGAAGATTTGTTTTGAAAAAAAGGGAGGGAAGGGGGAAGGATGAGGAAAACCTCTAAAAAAGATTTTTTGGGTGTACTATTAGAATATCAGATGAGGGTTAGTTGGAATAGCCAAAGGTAACAGAAAGGAAGGGGAGGGTCGGAGGAACTGGGGGAGGGTAGGAAGAAAGGAAGGGTAGGAGGAACGAGGGTAGGAGGAAGGGGAGGGTCGGTTGAACTCGGAAACTTTTTTCCCAAGTTTCCGGAACTCGGAAAAACATTCAAAATCAAAAGGCAGATATTGGGGATATTCTGATATTCAACTATGCATGATTCAAAATATAAAAAATTTTTTATGGCAAAAATATGTGGGGATTTGAAATAGCTTCTAGGAGGAAATTTATTAAAAGGTAAAGGTTAGTACATAAGAGGGGAATTAATTTGAATAAAAAACGTAAAATGAGGGGGAAATATAATAATTTTGTTAATTATTTGTGGGCGAAATCTCAAAAATACGAAAAGCGGGAAACTTTTTTGTTGTTTTTCTGCCAGTTCCCCTGCTGAGAGGGAAAAGTGCATAATTAAAGGTGCAGGCAAAAAACAATAAAAAGGATAAAAATGCAAAAAAAAAATTTAAAAAATATTAAAAAATAATTTTTAAATAAAATGTCAAGTTAAAGTAAGGGGTCTTGATATAATGAACTCGAAGGGATTAACGTTATATCGAGTAGTTATAGTTAAATTTAAAGATTTGACTGATCAAGTCCTATGAATAATGAAGTGTTTTGCTAATGAGCTTCTCGGGTTTCCTTAAGTTTTCTGGATGAACCAAGGGATGTGATTCTGAGGAAATAAAAAAACAGAACGGAAAATGAATAAACACACAAAAAATTTGAAAAATCCGTCTCATCCTTTCAATAGGTACTGTCAAAAAATCAACTAAAATTTATGTAAGTTGTGATTTTTAAATTTTAGTATGATTTTCCGTTTAGTACAAAAATTGTTTTACAAAAATATAAAAAATAAATACATGAACAAACTTTTAATATTAAAAAATAAAATATTTATGAGGATGTTTGTCTTCAACTTTTGTCTCTCTCTTCCGACTGGACATTATTTTTTGACATTTTCACAAACAAAAATAAATAACCATTCATTTTTTCGGCCAACTAATAATAAATAAAGGCACATAGGGTAGTAGAAGAAGAAGAAAAGTGCTTTTCCTTCTTCCTCATTCTCGTTAAAAAAATTTTTTTCTTCTTGTATTTTTCTGATCTCGCTTTCCCCTCTTTCTTGCTTTCTTCTCGCTTTTCCCCTCCTTTTTTCCAAAAATAGATCTCTTCCTGCTCATATTTTCGTTGTAAGCTAGCCGAACTATTTGCGCAAACATTGTGTTTTTATTAAAAAACATTGTGTTTTTTTCTTCTTTTTTGATCAAAAACTCTTCTTTAACTCTTTTCCCTCAAATTCAACTTATTCCTAAATCTTCATAAAATGCCCTTCTACTCCTTCTATTCATTTTCCTTCATTTATATTGCCTAATAATTGTTGTATGATTATCGTTTCTATTCTTGTCTCAATCTCGGTTGAGATTTGAAACTGTGAGTCGTTGTTGGAGATAAAGTCGTCTCAAATACATAGTTTCCAATAGTTGTTGAAAGACTGTGAACCCTTCAAAATAATTCTTCATCTTCATTCTCATCCTTCCTCTTTAATATTTTCTCGATATTCTCTTCTTTTTTGTACTATTAACTGTCCATAATATTTATTTTTTTCTTCCAAACATTACAAAATAAACAAAAAATTTAACAAAAAACACTCCCCTCTCCGTCCATCTTTGTCCACCTGTTTCAGCCTAAACAAAATTTTTTCCTTCCACTTTTCGGCCATCTTTTTTTGTGTCCATTATATACATGTTTATAGCGCATGGATGCGCTCTCTGTCCTCTTCACCTTCCCTCTCTTCCTTTGTGTAAAAAAAATTTTTTTTTGTTGCATTCAAAAAATATTCACTTTTTTCTCTCAAAAATCCTCTTCATCCCTTTTTTCCTCCTTTTTTATCCTTTTCCATTTGAATGGACAAACATCCGCATTTTCTCTCCTTTTTTTAAACAAAAGTGCAGTCCTCCAACCATTAGGCAATATTTTTAGATGGACACCGGCTGACTGCTGTGTAATCGCTTACACTACTGCGCGAATGATGAGTGAAAGAAAAAATAAAAAATAAAATAAAAAATAGGGAAGTGCATATGTAAAAGTGAATGTGGAAGAGGAAAAAATAAGAAAAAAAATTAAGAAAAAAAAATGGAAAAATTTAAAAATTTTTAATATTAAAAATATTAAAAAACTGTATAATAAACCCCTAAAAACTAGAAGAATTTTTCAAACTTTTTAAAAATTAAGTGGAAAGAAAAGTTTGAAAATTGAATTTTAGAGAATAAAAGCAGTGTTAAAAATTACAGTTAATTCCCGTTACTGTCGGGAGGTAGGAACAAATATTTTTGAAAAATCAGTACTATTGGTTCTAAAATTATTTTTAAAAAATTGCTAAGATAAAAATTGAAATTTAAAATAATTACCTATTTGAATGTTGCCAAATAAAATATTTAAAATTATTGTGAAAAAAATTTTTTTAAAAAAAAAAAATTTTTTTTAATGAAAGAATAAATTCTGTAAATTTTCACAATTTGGTCGGTCATTTAAAATATAAGTATATTTTTAAATAATATTAAAGTCCATCCATGTCCACTTTCATTTAATCACATGAAAATAAAAATTGGGAGAAAAAAAAGAATTTTTGATCAACAGGTTTTTTAATTCTGTCCAAATTGTGAATGGGAAAGAGAATAAAAAATAAAGGGACATAGGGCGCCAGCCGGAGGAAAAACAAAAAAATAAGGGAAAATTGGTGGACTGTTAGTTAAAGTCTGAAAAAATTTTTTGAAAATTTTTAAAATTTTTAAAAATTATTTTTAAATAGAAAATTAAATTATTTATTTAAAAATCCCAAAAATATTTTTAAAAATGTTTAAACAATTTATTTTTAAATGCCTCAAAGGAAAAACTTGTTCCTCCTCCTCTCAGCCTCCAAAAAACTCAAATGAACTTTTCAAGCAATCCTCACATCCACAAAAAAAATAATTTTTTTTCTAAATATTGCCCATCATCATCTGTCCATCCATCCACTTTCATTTTTGTTCTCTAAACTTGCTTAAACAACAAAACAATTTATTTTTTCATCACGTAATGTCCATCATGTAATTACGTGAGATCGGCGCAACCCGAGCGCAACCAATCAACCAACCAATCTCTCTCCTCCTTTTATAAATCCTCTTCTATTGAAAACGTGTTCCATACAACCCTTATCCCTTTTTTAAAAATAAAAAAAAAGCTTGGATGGAAAAGCTGCTTAAAAGTGAAAATAAAAGGGAGATTCTTTGGTAGGCAAAATTTTTGGGGAATAAGGGATGTTGCGAGATTTGAGGAAAAATAGAATGGATAAATGTTTGTTCTAGTCAGAGCTGTCCGAGAGGTATAGGAGATTTTACTTTAGTTGGCCAAAATTTTGGGAGATAAGAATAATTCAATACAGATTGGTCTCGGTTTTGAGTTATAGAAAATTTTCGGGTTTAGACAGCTCTAGTTTTTGTCTTAAAACCTTTGAAATTTTTAAAAATTTTTGAAAAAATTTTCAAAATTTGGAAATAGAGTAGTTTCAAATATTCGATTTTATTCAAAAGTTCCCTTTCTATTTCTGGAATTTTTTTCAATTTTTGATTTTTAAGGATTTTTTATTTTGAAACAAATTTGTTAGGGAATTAAAAAGTTAAAAAAATAAATTTTTAATTTGTACTTTTAAAATATTTAGGGGGAAGAGAATATATTTTTTTTAGCTTTTTTACCTTCAAAAAATATCCTCTTCAATCCTCTTTTCCCTCCTATTAATGAGAGTTCCCCCAAAACAGAATTTTTGGGGGAATATATCATCAACATCATTGTAGAAAAAACCGGATTGTTTATGAGAGGAAAAAAGTGGACACAGAGGGCAATACATAAATGTCCGAAGGAAGGAAAGTTGAGGAGCTACATAACATAAATAATTAAAAATGATAGTTCACTTTTTAATTAATTTTCAGAAAAAAAAGTTAAAAATCGGAAAATCTTGGATTTGGATAGATATTAAAATTGTTTTTTATGATGGGAAAAATAAATTTGAAAAATATTTTTAGGGCATTTATGCAAAATTGGATGTATCGCTTAAGCAGTTAGGCAGCTCTCACTCAAAACCAGTAGCCTTTCAGAATTAAAAAAAAGTATGTAAATTCTAGATCTATTTTAGTTGATTTTAAAAAGTCTAAAATTATTTTTTAACTAAATAATTTTATTTAATTTTTCTTGCACTTTTTTCATATGTTTTTAATTTCGCCTCATTGGATTTAGTGACATTTTTAAATAAATATTTCCTTCTTTATTATAAACAATACAAAAAACTAACAAAAACATCCCTTCTCAACTTGATATTTTGTAAAATATATAAATATTTTAATTTTTAACTCACCCGGAAAGGACAGCGGTACTCTTCTTTATTTAAAAAAACAAAAGACGTACAAAATAAACAATTATTCAAGCATGTAAATATGTAAAAATGCTTAATTATTTTTATTTTTAACATTTTGTAATATTTAAGGAATAATATAACATGTGTATTCCGGAAAGTTTAAATACTTAGGAATATAAAGTTTTCCGGAAAATATATTTCCGGAAATATATTTATACTTCTTCAGGAAACATTAATTATAGCCATTATTTTTCCGGAAGGAATATTTATGTAATTCCATCTTTTCCGGAAACTTTAAATATAATTAAATGTTTCCGGAAAATATATTAACTCAGAATAATTCTATTTGTATTTTCCGTAAATTATTAATTCGTTTCCGGAAAAGTTTATTTGTATTTTTCCGGAATGTAGTATAATAATGGTATATTTATATTTTCCGGAAATTTATAATTAATTTCCGGAAATAATAATTTATTTTTGTTTTTCTGGAAATTTTATAATCCTGATTTAGTTTTTACTAAATGTGTTTCATAATATAAAAATAATAAAAGGTAGTGAAACATGGCAATCCATAAAAATAATAATTCATAAAAATAATAGATTTTGTGAAAAATAATTTATTATAAGAAAAAGGTCGAATTTATATGTAGATTGAATAATGATTTATTTTTTTAAATATTTTAAAATAAAAAATATTCAGTGGGAAGAAGTCTTGCCATAAGGGGTGTGAATTAAAAATTTTTTAAAAATTTAAATTAAAAATTATTAAAAATTTTGATTATTTTTTTCCTGTTCTATTTTACTATTGTAGCCTTTTTAATGCTTTTCCAATAATACAAAGTTTTAATGATTTGCTTCCAAACTTAAAAAGATAACGAGATTTGAATACACCATATACTTATTTTGATCCTGAAGGAAGTCTTGATTCAAAATAATTTTATCCACTTACCATAAGAAGAAAATATTTATCAAAGCTACAGACATCTGCGGACGTCTAACTTTTTTTAAGAAAAAAATTATAAGCAAAATTTTATGAAAAAAAATAATTTAAAAGTCGGTCCCTTCAAAAGGTCGATTTATTCGGATGAACAATTTTCAACTCTATTTTTGGTCATTTCTTCCCTTTCTTCCTTTCAGACTCATCATGTTTAGATATAAATCTTTGAAAAAGAGATATCCTCAATGGAACATTAAAACATTAAAATATGTAGGTTTTAATGTTAGGAATACATATGTATATGTATGTTTATAATTCATTAAATTTAATAAAAAAAAATATGATTTTATTAATCCTCAACTCATTAATATTTTATAAATAAAAAATAAAATTAATTATTATAAAATTAATGATGCTGTTAAAAAGATTTTTCTTTTTAATTCGTAACTATATTTGGTTCAAATGTCTGACTATAAATTGGCAAAGGTTTTTAAAATTAATATTAGATTAGGATTTAAAATTGTTCCGGATCAGGGAGTGAGAGGTTGATTTTTGACCGAGTATTCCCGTATCCAGAGAACTAAATAAAAATTCTTCACAGACCTGGAACATAACAGGGTTGTTCCGAATTGATTTAAAAAGCGCGAAAGACGAAAGTCGAAACTCGCACACCATTGCTACATAAGTTTTTCCCAATCCTTCCAATTCGAAATTGTCCAAACAATAACAATTCTTTATAATTTAACAGACACTGTTTTAATTCTAACAATTAAAGTTATTTTCAATAATTATAAGGTATAATAACCTTTCAATTCTTTTATGTAAAAAGATCAAGTTTCCGATAAATTTTGTAGATAAAATATAATTTTTGTTGTTTTTATTCGATAAATACATAAATTATTTGGTAGTTTAGAACGCTAAAAGTTAAAAAAGAAAAATAAAATGATCAAAAAAAATATTTTTATAAAAAATATGTATTTATCTACATTTGTTTGTCTTGTATTTTTATTTTAAATAAAAAAAATTTCTGCGATTTCCAAGACGGGGAAAACATAAAAATACTTTAAAAATATTAGTACAAATTTTTTAAATTTTATTTTAATAATTTAAAATAAATAATTATTAAGTTGTGGGCATTCTCTGGAACAGATGATACTGAACAAGACATATCTCCAAAAGTAGGCAGGAAAATAAATTTTTTTAAATCCCTAAATAATGGGAGCAGGCCAATGTACCGCGAGCCCTCAACCAGCTGAATCGAACCATACCAAGGCGTCCCGAATTCGACAATTCTGAACGAAGTTATAGCTCTGCTGTAGGTTGGGCTCTCGGTAAGTTGGCCTGCTCTCCATAAAAATTTTAAGAATAATTTTAAAAAATAAATAATAATTTAAATAAAGAGTTCGTCGTATTATTACACGTGCATTTTTACTTGGATTTTTATTTATTTTTTGCATTACTTTTAATATGCCTTGGAGGTTTTTAAAAAAATTTTCTGATTTTTTAAAATTTTTTAAAATTATTTTATAGCACTCAACATATTGCTATAATCTCAACTAATTATTTTTTTAATTCTTCAAGGTATTATTGAGGAAAAAATAATTAATTAAAATAATCCAGTTATCCTTTTAATACAATGGTTGTCCTTTTTAATGCACAGAGAAGGTTTTGGCCTCCATGGCCGTTACTTTGTGAGTTTTATTAAATCTAATAAAAATTTGAGAAAAATTAAAAATACTTTTTGAGGTCATAGTCATAATACCACTCATTCACTCACTTCATTGCCTCGTGTTCGGCACGCATTCACTCCTATTCTTATTTGTGGATGGTTCGTTTATAAAAATTTATTTCAGAAAAATTTTTAATAAATTCTCAAAAAATTTTTTAAGGTCAGTCTTTTTAGCAGTTTGTCCAACAGTTCAATCCCCCTCTCAATTTGCCTTGCGCGACATGCATGTCCATTCAACTTCAGTAGCCGTTCCCTACAGAAAAGTCAGTGCGGAGCATTTACCTGTAGTTGCCTGTTTTAGCCCTCTTTTCTTTAATGAAAGGTGGCAATTAATTATTCCAACGGTGAAATTTTTAAAAAGAATTTTTAAAAATTTTTTTAAATTTAGTTGGAAATTTATCGACAATATGGGGTGTCATTACAAGTATATTATATTCAAAGCATGTTAGTTGAAATTCTCGATTTTATGAGGGTAAAGGCTTTTAAATTAAATAAAAATTAAATTAATAATAGATATATGAAAATGAAAAAATTATACGAATAGAAGCATGGACAAAGTTTAATATATCTATGCCTGTTGATAGCTCTTTTAAACCTTTAGATTATGACCCTAATGCTGAATTGGAATGGAGGTGTAGTTTTATTAAATTATTAAAGTATTTAAGACATTCCGGAAAATTATTTTCCGGTTTATTTTCCTGAAGGAATTATCTATTTATATTATTCCAGAAATTTTCCGGAAAACACTTTATTTTCCGGAATGAATTTTATTTTTATATTTATTCCGGAAACATTTGAGAATAAATAATTTTCCGGAAAATATATGTATGGATAGGTATATTTTCCGGAAGGAATCATTTATTTGTATTCATTCCGGAAAGTTTAAAAATATATAATTTTCCGGAAAATATTAATTTATTTTCCGGAATATATCCTTTTATTCCTTCCGAATTCTATAATATTAAACTTTACTAAAACAGAAATCAAGCTGCTGCCCATACTGATTGTTTAATCTATTACAAAGTGGGGTTTAATTTTAAAAAAATGCTAAATTGTATTTATTTTTTGGAAGCGGCCGAATTTATTATTATTTCCGATTTGGATGATGTTTTAATACCACGTATGGGAGATGGAAGTTTTCTTGGCGAATTTAGACATTTAAGTGCGCAATTGCCTAATTCAGCAGGATTTTAGTTAATTTTTTATCTTTTAATTTAAATAAATTTATTTTTAAAAATTAGTTATAATCGTTATAATACTCATCTAATTACAAGTAAATTAAATTTCTTATCAAAGGCTTTAAAATTAATTTTCTAACTTTTTAAGGTAATGATCCAAAAGATTTTTCATTATTATCATTAATAAATGGGGCAAGAATTGCTGAGGAATGGGAAGATCCAAAGTAGAGTTTTCCTTAATATTTTTAAGAGGGAATAAAAAAAAATATAAAATTTTTCCGGAAATTTAAAAAATGCTTCCTATAGATATCAATTTTTCCGGAAGAATATTAATTCATTTTCCGGAAAAAATTATCTATTTTTATTTGTTCCAGAAATTAAAAGTTGTATAGTTTTCCGGAAAATATATTGCAAATTCATTTTCTGGAAGTAAATAAATTAGAGAATAAAGTTTAAAAAATAAATAAAAATCCACTCAACCCAGTGATTTAAAAATTGAATGACTTCGAAAACTGCCCCCTTCCTAACTCTATCAGAAAATCATTTAAAATTATATTTCACTTTTAAATTATCTAAAGGTATGTAGTTAAACCAAAAAATGTTCAAAGTGTCTGGTTACATTGGCCAGGAATTGTAATTTTTTATTTAAATTTTTTTAATTTAAATTTTTAAAAGGTTGATAAGGGACGAATGTATTTAGTGCCGGATTCACAAAATTTTATTTTACATTTTAGGAATTGGAGCATGGTCTAGATTTAATTTTTTCTATTTAAATTTATTTTTAATTAATTTTTAGATAGACCATGATGCAATTAATGTCCCTTTAATAAATCGGGTGTCTTATTATTAGCTCTTATTTTTTTTTTTAATTTTTATAAATTAATTTTTTTTTAATTTAATGTAAAGCAATTTACACAATTATTTAATCCCCATATTTCCAAATTTATTTCAATAAAATTAAAAATTAATTTTAAAAAATTTTAAAGGTATTCAAAATGTTTAATTATCAAATTTCTGATATAATACGGCCTGAAGCGACAACAAAATTGGAAAATAATTTTAGAAAATTTATTTTAACAACTCCACATTTGGCTGAAAAAGTGATCTTTTTTAAATTAAATTAAATTTAATTTAATTTAAAAAATTTTCTTAAAGTTTTCTCGGCTACCTCATAGAGTAATTTATTACCCTATTATATCGGCATGTTATAATAGGTAATCTTTAAGGGTCTTTAATATTTTTTAAATTTTTTAATTTAGAATATTTTATGGACGAAGTAAACGCCCTATGAATTGCCCCGGTCCATTGCGTTGTCTACTTCCTTCTATTCCTGATATTAAATGTGCTATCGGAATAAGAAATTACGAGCATGGTGCAATTAATGAACACGTGGTTAGGAGTTTTTAAGAGATTATTTCCGGAAGGAATTATTTATTTCTGTTTTTTGGAAATAATTACTAAATAGTTTTCCGGAAAATATATAAATTCATTTTCCGGAAGGAATTAAATTAATATCCTTCCGGAAAATTATAGATAATTTCTTCCGGAAGTAAATAAATATATTTTCCGGAAACATATATAACTATACTTAAAATTTCCGGAAAAAACACAAATTGTTGTTTTCCGGAAAGAATTATTTATTTGTATTTTTCCGGAAAGGTTTGGAAATATAAATTTTTCCGGAAGGTATAATATAAAGTTTCCGAAAATATAAATTTTTCCGGAATATTTTTTAGGTAATTCACTATCCGGTTGAGGAAAAGGAAAGTTTTTATATCAACAATGCGGGCTGTAGTATATAAAAATTTGCGTTTAATTTGTTATTTTTATTTATTTTTTAATTTAAAATGTTTTTAAAAATAAATTTCTAATATTTTTGTGGTTATTATGTAAATAAATAATTTTTAGTAATTTTTAAAATAAGAAAGAAAAAATAGGAGCCGACCGGATTTGAACCGGTGACCTATTGATCTGCAGTCAATTGCTCTGCCACTGAGCTACGACTCCTCATGTTAGAGGAAAGCAAATAAAGTCTATTCAATCCTTTTTTAAAAGAAAATTTTCGTATGACTGTCGCTTATTCTCGTTTGGTTTGGTTATAAAAACTGGAAAAATAAGTTAAGCGAAATAAATATTAATTATTTAATAATGAATATAAATATTTATAAAATTTTATTTTTAATTTAAAAAACATTGGCTATACTTTTTTGTGAAAATTTTTGAAAAAAATATTTAAAAATCATTGAAAAAACGCTTAAAAAATTAAAAAAAAATTTTAAAAATAAAAAACAATTTTTCAAAATCATTTTTAAATCAAAATAATATATTAAATTTATATCCAATCATTTCCCCTTCCATTATAAAATCCTCCAAAAGGTGATGAACCAAAATTATTATTGCTAATAAATGGAATACTTGCTCTATTATAGTATCGGCTATATGGAAAAACTGAAAATAAAATTTAAAATTATTTTTAAAAATCAAGGTGGCATAAGCAAAGCAAGGAAAATTATTTTTTAAAGGCAAAAAATAGAATAAAAAAACAGGCAGTTATTGCTAGGAGCTTTAGCTCAATACGTAAAGCTGCTTTACCGACTTATCTACAGGAAGGCTACTGTTACCTTCATGATCTTTTTCTTGCATTTTAAATCGTGGATCTACGTTCCTTACTTTACAAGCAATCAAGAATTTAATTTAAAAAAATAAATTTATTCTGGGACAAAATTGCATTTAAAAAATTATATTTAGTTAATTAAAGGCAATATAAAGAATTTTGTAAAAGCTAAAAGGAAAAATATAAAAATGTGTTAATTTTAATTTAACAAGCAAAATATATAGTTAATAAAAAATAAATTTGTTAAAGTAAAGGCAATTTGTTAATTAGCTACAAGGCTGAGGACAACCTCCGCCTCCTCCCATCGGTCCGTAATTGCCTTCATAATTGCGGTAGGGAAGAGTTCTATAGTAATTGCGAAAATACCTTTAATTAAACAAAAAAATTAGTTTAAAATAGATTTAAATTAAGAGGACCTTGAAGGACCGTAATACCCATTATTGTAGTATGAATAGGCTGGATTTGAATCGTATTGTCTCATTGCTGCTTCTCCGAAATATTCGGGTGCCTTAAAATAAATTAATTTAAAAAATATTGGGGAAGAGAATCAAATGCCTGTTCTTGATTTCCAGTTCCGAGGTAGGGGGCGTCTCCTAAAAAAATTTTTTTTGAAAAATAAAATTATAAAGGGTAGGTCAAATTTTTAAGGAAAAAATATTTTTAGGAGAAAAAAATAAAAAAAATTGCCTGTTAGAGCCTTCATCTCAGCAATACCACCAACTGCTTCCCCAAAATGGATTAATTCAAAAATAATAAAAAGTTGGGGAAATAAAAATAGAAGGAAAGTATTTGTAATCATTTAAAATTTATTTTATTCTATAAATTAATTGTAAAATTGTAAAACTTAATTGTAAAATTGTAAAACATTTAATTCTGGTTGTTAAACTTTTTCAGAATTTTTTAAAAATTAATTTAAATGTTACAACCTTTTTAAAAATCAGAATATTTATTTAAAATAAGTTTATATTTTACATTATTCTGGCTTATAATTCTGGTTTAATTAAAAATTCTGATTGTAAAACTTTTTCAGAATTAATTAAAGTTTATTTATTTTTATAAAACCAGAATAATTATTTAGAATAAGTTTGTATTTCACTTAATTCTGGTTATTAATTCAGGTTTATTTAAAAATTCTGGTTTTTAATAAATATGCTGATATGTATAACAAGAAAACACATTTTGTATTTTCTCAAGTTTTCTTATTTGTAAATTCTGGTTTTATAATTTTAAATAAAATCAAAATCAGAAATATGAGTCAGAACGAACTTTTTCTTTACTTTTTAAACCTTTGCTCCCAATAAAAGCACACAAAAAAAGTTAAAACTTGTTCTGGAGTATTTTTAGTTAAACATAAATTGACGTCAATTGAGACAAAATGCTTGCGCATTTTATTACTATTTCCTGGCTAATGTATTTTTTTAAATAAAAAAGAGGAGGAAATAAATACTTTTTTTGTAGTAATTGGCGAAGTTACGAATAAAACTTTGGTAATAATTAATTTTAAAAGAAATTATTAAATTTTAACAGGTAAAGAATAAATAGGGAGAGGGCCATTCTTGGTATACTACGCCTCTAGGACGGAAAAATTTACTGAAATAAGGAGTACCAGGGATGCCCCCTCCCTTTTTGTGAGGGTATCACCTTGGCAGTTCTTCCCTATGTGAGGCAGGGTACCCTGAAATGAAGTAATATTCTTTGATAATCAGAATATAAACACTCGAAATAACCAGTTAGACTCTACAAAAGATTCTCGACTTTCCTAACCGGTTAGAGATGAGACCACCAACCAGACTTTTTTATTCAAGGTAAATCCTTGTTAATGAAAAATGAATATAAATTTTAAAGAAAACCACTGACCTAAAAATAGGGAAATTAAACTAAACTGAAGAAAATAAAATTAAGAAAAAAATAACAGATTTACTCCGATAAAAGAACAAAAAAATTGTGACAGCCGATTTTGGAAAAAAAATAAAAAGAAGTTTTGGGGAAGAAATCTTTTTGGGAAGAATAAATAATTTAAAGAGGAGAAAGGAAGAAAAAGTTTGGAGGAATTTTTTTATTAAAAGGATGTCTAAGTTTATATGTAGAAGAAAAGCTTGAATCTCTTATAAGCCAAGGTCAACTGAACAAAGTTTCTCAAAAATCTGAAACTTTTTCTAAAGATTTGTTTATTCTATCCCATGAAAACGAAGAGAATATGAATCACTCAATGGATTAACTCAAAAAATGTATTCAGCCAAATCCGCCTTGATCCGACTTGATCGGTCAACCCGATCCGGCTTGATTTATCGAGGTATATCTCACTGACTTCAAATTTTCGGGAAGAACACTAAACCATATCAAATGAGATCGAAAATGGCTTTCGAACAAAAAAAGGCTCACAACTAGAGTTCGGCTCGATACGATTTTTTTCGATATTTTTATATTGAATATCGTCAGACCCCTCCGGTCGATCTCTACTCAAAGACCTAAAACAATAAAAAATCTATTCCTTTTTAAGGTTAAATTTTATTTTAAAAAAGACGTGAATATATTTTTCCTCAATTATTCTTCCTCCATTTCTTTAAAAAATTGAAGAAGGGGGGGGGGGGGGGGGGAACACTCAAAAACAGGCTGTAAAGATGCGCATAAGAGAATACAAAAAAATAATGGTTCCGCATTGTGAAGACTATTTTGGAATGTAAAAATATATTTTTTAATAGAAACATTAGAATGTAAATGTATAGAAAGAGTTTATTTTAATTGAAATATGTTGAAAAATAAATTTATTTATTTAAAATATTAATAAATTTGCCGTATTTGCTTAAATAATTACGCCGGGTAATTTAATTATTGTTCCAAACCCTCTCGCTAAAGATTCAAGCATATATAAGGATAAAGACGCCCACTTTTAGATAGCCTCTGAGGGATGAACAAATCGCACCTCTTTATAATCATGGATAAATTGAGGGTATCGTCAACATCCAGTAGCTAATACTCAGATATTATAATCAGAGGAGTATTTGGGGAGTATTTATTGGGAGACCTATCTAAAATAGTGGTTCGATTCTTCGCTCACCTCTCCTTCGGAAGGAAAAATGTTTTGATTTTTAGAAACTAAATGGTTCCTTTATAAATTTTTATCACCCAAGAGTGTTAGTTTTTTTCAATTAAAAAGAAGCATTCCGTGAAAATAAAATTTTTCTAAACAAATTAAAAGAAAATAAAAAAAGAGATTAAAGGGCAATTTAATTTTTTCTTTGGAACTTTCTTTGCTACTAAAATATTTTTTGTTTGTATAGTTAATAGTGTTTTTGTTTAAAACTTGTTTTTAGTGATTATTTTTAGTTAAAAAAAGAAATTTTAATTAAAATGATAAAAAATTTTCAAATAAAAATTTAAAAAATAACTTAAAGAAATTTTAAAAATGTTTTATTAAATATACCAATAGATCTACAATTATTGACATAAAAAAGTTTAAAAAAATTTTTAAATCAATAAAAACACCAAAAATAAATTTAACATATAATAAATGCAAATTTTATTGTTTGTTTTAACATAAAATATTTTTAAAAATAGAAAAAACTACAAAAATTGTATTGTATTACAGACTAGAAAATTTGTCCGAAAACATATTAACGGCCATAACTTTTTCAGAAATTGGCAGATGTTGGTGTTCTGCTTTAAAACAAGCCTATTCTTAAAGCTTAATTTTTTAAATTAAAAATTAAAAAAAAAATCATGTCCGTTAAAAGTATGCTCGTTAACCTCCGAAAATTAACTACAATTTTGAATGACTCTATGACGTTGATCTTCAGCTACTTCCATTCTTCCATCTTCTATTCTATGCCTTATATCCTTCACTTTTTTAAAAATTCTGTTTGAAAGTTATTTTTTAAATTGATTTTTTAATATTTTCAAAACTTCCCCCTCACTTATATTTTTTGATTTTCTAAAAGTCTGTGGGGACTTGTAAAAATATATGTAAATTTTTGTTGTTATTTTTAATAAAATAACAACAAGGTAAAATGCCATTCTTACCAAAATATATTTTTTAACGGCGCCAGAAAGGAAGAAAAAAACAGAAGAAGATCAGTCATCATTTTCTTTTTTCCTTCCAAAATCATTCTTTTCTTTCTTATCTTATTCCGCTTTTGACTAAAAAAATTATTTTTTAATCTTTTATTCTGCCGAAGAAACAAGAGAAGGTTAAATACAACTTTAATAGGTATTTTTGATATTGTTAAAAAAATAAAAATTTATAAAGTCAGTAGTCCACCCCAAGGTACCACCGCGCAGCTCGTCGATGCACCTCGACGAGATGAATCGAACCATATACGGGCATTCCGGATTTGACAATATTGAACGAACTTATAGCTCTGCAGTAGCTTGGTGTATACCTCCGCTCATTTGTATGTCCATGTACTATACCACAAAAAATTATTGTTATTTTAGTTTATTTCTAAAATTTTAGTTGATGTCCTTTCTTATCTTCTTCCGCTTTTGACTAAAAAAGCGGATCTCCCTCTCTCTCAACCAAGTTTAACCACCAATACTTTACAAAAATTAATTAAGAATTAATTTAATTTAAAAATCCACTTAATCTCTTCTAAATTTAATTAATTAATTTTGCTAAAAAATTTTTTTAAGAGAAATCCATCTATTTTTTTTCTACCGCTTTTGAACACATATCTACCTAAATATTTTTTAGTTACTCCAACTTCCCATACATCGATCATTGTCAAATTATTTTTATTTTTCTTTTTAATATTCCAATATCTACCTTTTCATTATAATATTCTTTATTCCACTGTTTTTTGTTCCTTTTAAATAGAAAATAAACCGATTAAGAAAGGGTCACCTTTAATCTACAGCATGACTATTTTAACAAAGTTTATTTAATTATAGTTGGTAATTATTGTAAAATAAACTTGAATAATAAATAAACTTAGATTAAATAAACTTGAATTTTTGTAAAATAAACTTATTACAAGACTTGTTACAAAAATAAACTTTTTTTAAATAAACTTTAATAAAAAAACTTTAAAAGCAACTTGAAGCAAGTTTCATATTCAAGTTTATTTAATTATATAAATTATTTCAAGTTTATTTTAAATAAAATCCAAGTTTAATTTTTTTAACCCAATTTTATTTTGTTGTGTGTTTCTCTGCCGTTTGTTTTTCACCAACTATTTCTTCTTTAATATTGTCGGCAAACATTTTAAGTTTTAAAAATATAAATCTAAATTTAAAGCAGCATTTCTTGTCATTGCATAATTTTTATGGACGATACTTGTTTTAATAATTTTATTATTTTTTTGTTTCAAGTTTTATTTTTTTTATAAAATTCCGCCTATTTTTAATTGTAATATAATCTCGTTATAACGACACCCCTCTGGACTTATTTTAATGACGTTAGCAAAAGTATATGTCAGATCAGGCTAAAACCAAATTAATGCGTTGTTTGAAAGAAGTTGAGAAGGGATATAGTGTCTCGAGATTCTACAGTATTTTTAGACATTCGAGGGAGTTACTTTGAATGAGAGACAAATCAGGC